CAAATAAAACTATACAATATACAAATCGTAGACATTTTATAACAATATAATATAATCTTATAAGTTATATATCTTATCAGTCATTTATATTTCAATAACTAAGATATGTTTAAATTCTTTAATCATATCATAAAATGAGAACAAAACGTTTAATTATTATATAAATATCAGTACTGTATGAAAAATATTTTATTAAATTATCTCTATTTTACTTTACAAATGAGTACAATAATAACAGTTTAAGACCTTGTTAAAATTACTAATAATTACAGTTGATTAAAAATGATAAATATTTTACAAAATGCGCTATAATTATTTATTGATGTTATGAACAGACTATTGATTTATTATGAATAGTATTACAAACCGGTTGTATAAGTAGGCAGTTTTTCGCTCAAATAAAATGGCATTAAATTTATCGAAAAAGTTTATTATTAAAATTGTTTTGGACGTATTTTCATTATTAGTTATTGGATTATTAGTATTGTTTTTGTATTTATTTGTTAAGCCCTTTAAAAGGGGGTTCTTTTGCGATGACACCTCCATTAGGTATCCATATAAAGACAATACGATAACTGATTATTCATTGGCTTTACTCGTATTGGTTCCCATCATTGCAACCATCGGTGGTGTTGAGACTTATAGATATAAAAAAGTATTTATTATTTATTTAAATCTGTTTTAATATTTTTACAAATTATATTCAATATTTTAGTTAACATAGTAGAAGACATTGTTAACTTGATCTGTTTTTGCCCACTTGATAATAACCTTAATAATAACAATGATCTATATTTTTATCAGTTATAGCTTAGATATAATGATATTTTTATACATAATGTTATTAATAATAACTTATAATTGACAATTAAAGATAAGTCCATATTTTAAACCTTAACCCACAGAGTAGGTACACAACGAGACTATATAAATCAATATCACAGGAGCTGTACGACAAGTTTGTGCCCTTTCTGTTCGGTATATTGGCCTCACTTTTGTGCACATTTGTGGCTAAAGTATCTGTCGGTCGGTTAAGACCCTATTTCCACAGTATATGCAAACCAAACATAGTTTGCGACGCGACTAATGCCTACAAATATATCGAGGACTTCGAGTGCACCGGATTTAAGGACTCGCCGTCCGGTGCTGTCGATGAGATTAACATGAGTTTTATGTCCGGTTAGTCTCATTAGATTATTAATGACAATACAACATATTATGCAATATTTTTGATTTACAGTAATAATAAATAATCATTAAAAATATAATTTAAGGAAATAACAAAATAATTAAAATACTTCATACGATTACTATTACAAAATGTATAAAATTGTGCAAAAATAGTTTAAATATAGTAACTATACTACTGATACAGTAATTAAATCGTTACAACGAGGGTTATTTATAAACAAAGTAATAAAATGTAAATTAAGTAATGATTACAAAATTTCAGGTCATTCCTCATTGATGGCATTTTCGATGGTATACCTGACGATATACCTGCAAAAACGTATGCCTATAACCCAGACAAGCGACTCATTAATTCGGGCAATGATTCAGGGATTGGCAGTGAATTTGGCGTTTTTCGTGGGCTATACCCGTATATCGGACTATTGGCACCACTGGAGTGATGTCATGATTGGCTTAATTCAGGGCACAGTCGCCGCAATACTCACTGTTTTATATTTAAGCGATTTATGTGTTGGAAATCCTTTCAATGAATTATACGCTAAAAAGGATAGTAATGTCGCGAGTATTGAAAGCAATGATAATACCAGAGGAAATGGCAATGACTTTCAAATTAGACTAGTACAGTCTAGTATTTAAATTGATTTCAATAAATTATATTTAAAACTTTATTAAATTGTATAAAATTTTTGAATATACAGTTAAAATATAGAAATTTAATATATAATTATCATTTAAATAACTTATTGTAATGAGATTTTAAAATTCTTAAATAAATGTTACTTATTTATAATTGTTATATTTATTAAAAATGATTTTTAAATTATATAATTGTAATAAAAAATAAATTTATAAACAAGTACATTAAAAATATTTTATGTGTATTTTATAACCATCCATCTATTTTTATATTTATTAAAATCAAAATTATTGTGCGACTAAACAAGTTTATATAAACTCAGAAGCAAATATCAATTATATATGATTGTGCATTATTTTACTTTCATAAAACAAATCAAATAACAAATTTAAATATATTTACATAAATATACACCTAAGATAGTTTTAAGTACACAATTTAGTATTTATATTCATAAAATGTTTTTCACTTAAACACACTATACATGAGAATTTATAGTTCAAATTATATAAATATATTGCAAATTTACACGTACCGATACAATGCTTAATTTATGCAAAATTAAATAATTGGTGTGTCTAGGATTTCATAATTTTTCATTGTTAAATACAAAATTAAAGGGCATTGATAAAATATAAAAGTAGTAAACTGAATTTTTGTAATGTATTTCTTTAATTATCAATCACTTACAGATAAATTATGAGTTCCTCTATGGACACGTGTAAATCTTATTTTTATTACTTTTTTGGGCACTACCCTTAATTACTAATGTAAATGCACCTTTACCCTTTACACAATTACCCTTTTGGCGCCGCTTTTATATTGTAAATTTACATGTACCGGTACAATGCTTGATTTATGCAAAATTAAAAATTGGTGTCTAAGATTTCATAATTTTGCATTCTTAAATACCAAATAAAAGGGCATTGATAAAATATAAAAGTAGTAAACTGAATTTTTGTAATGTATTTCTTATTACATTTACATTAGTAATTAAGGGTAGTGCCCAAAAAGTAATAAAATAAGATTTACACGTGTCCATAGAGGAACTCATAATTCATCTGTAAGTGATTGATAATTAAAGAACAATATATATATAATTTAAACTATAAATTCTCATGTATAGTGTGTTTAAGTTAAAAATAATATTGTACAAAATTTACTATTAACACAATGCAAGTCATTTTAAAGTCATATGTATTTAATTGTTTATTTTAGCGGTTATTCCGGAGCCTGACGTATATTTTAGTTGTTTGAATGCAATATAGCATTGTGAAATTTGTTTTAAAAAAATGAGATAAATTTAAATAAATTTGGCGATATTCACACATTTCCTAAAACACTTCAGACGTTTGGTATCTTTAAGAGACATTTAAAAAATAGTTTACAATTATAAAAGTTAGTAGTTGTTACAGTTTATTATCTTTGTATTTTTAGTAATTAAAATTAAGATTATAGTTTAATCAAAAATTGTTTTCATATTATTTCATAAATTTTATCATTTTTAAGACATGTCCAGCGGTTGTATTGACGTTGAAGGAAACAATATTTGGTATGAAAAGTTTGGTACCGGCCCTCACCCCTTATTACTAATACCTGGAGCCATTGGTATGTATCAAAATAAATTCAGTATTGTGACTTAATACAGTACTAAGTCTATTACATTTTTAAGGCACCGGTAGGACTGACTTCGGACCACAAATTCAGGGGCAAAATGCGCTAAACCTGAAAAAGTATACGTTAGTTGCGATGGAGCCGTTAGGGTGGGGTAGGTCGAGGCCTCCCATCAGGAAATATGATAACCAGATCTATAATAACGACGCCTATCATGGCTATAAAATTATGGAGGTTTGCAACCATTTAATACTATATGTTTATCCACGATCTTATGATCTTAACATCAATATCAATACCTACAGGCGCTCGGATACACCAATTTCTCGGTGATGGGCTGGTCAGACGGGGCCAAAACAGCTATAATAATGGCTGCCCTCTACCCGTCCCGTATCAGGTCGTGCATAGTGTGGGGAATCGTGACCTATGCCTCGGAAAAGGATATCAAGGCTGTGGTGGTCACCAAAAACATCAAATTCTGGGGAAACGATTTGATACAGAATTACGAGAGTGTTTACGGGGAAGAGTGGTTCGGTCTGTGGACCCGACACATGGAGTTCCTCGAGAAAATTCAGGAGCTTTTCCCCAATGGCTTTGTTAAGAATGACTTGCAGAAAGTCCGGTGCCCTATATTTGTCATGCATGGCGACCAGGTATGGTTATATTTATTTATAAAATATATTATTTTTGTGTTTTTAATATGCATATATAAATTGTAAATATTTTGAAACTCATGTCAAACCCTCTGTGCAAATAGGACCCGATCGTAGGTGTGGAGCACTCGCACTATGTAATCAAGAATATCTCGGACTCCCGACTCCACCGCTTCCCCAAAGGCTCCCATAATTTGCACTTCACTTTCGCCAAAGAATTCAAGCAATTAGTCGAGGATTTTCTCAGTGACGTCGACGACGGGTATTAAAGTCGATGAAAGAGTACGTTATGTAGTCTTTGACGCATAAAACTATTAAAACTACACTTTTTGTCTAAAACAGGTATTCATTTAAACATAAAGTTTGTCATAATTATTATTTACGAATATATTTTATATAATATACAGCACTTAAATAATAAATAGCTTTAAATATAATATATTTTTAAATAATAGTAAATAAGGACTCGTTTTATTGCATACTAAACTTATGGTAGGAATTAAAAGTTAATTTTATTTAATATTTTAAAGAAGTTTATATAGTTTTTCATATAGTTTTATAAATTTGTTTTTCTTAAATTATCCTTGCTCATTAGTAATCAATGCAAACCAGTGCAATAATTCATTTACTGATTAATTATCTATATTTACTTTGGAATATTATAAACTCTTTGTACTAAATATTCATATCTTATTTAAATGATCAAGAATCATTTATCTTTGCTCAATAATTATGATACCATTGCATTGATTTTAAATTGTATGTATTCTATATTAAATTAAACAATCAAAAATTATTACATATAATTTATAACATAAATACAGTATGTAGTTATTACTCTATATAAAATTAATTCTGAAAATAAAATTTTACAAATATTTTAGAAATCTTAAAGTTATTATTTATTGTAAAATACACTAATACTGTATATGTTTTGAAATTAAGTTAAGTACAAGTGATCAACTTATATAATAAATTAATTTTTTATTAATAAAAAGTGTGTAAATAGTGAACAATTGATTAATGACCGTCTGAGTGCATTTATGTGCCCTGACATAATATTAATTACTTGGCAAAACTATGATCACTTTATTTTCAAACCAAATAAAATTAATTTTTTATTCAATAAACCATTAATTTTTAAAAAATTAATTAATTTAAAAATGTTTTTCACGTCAATTTCATAACTTCAAACATGGTATAAAAGGTCGACTATAACACACAGATTCTATCAGAAAACAAAT